GTTTAGGGTTTAGGGTGTAGGCCCTAAACCCGCTTGGAGGGTCGGGGGACTTAGTAAGTCGATAGTAAGTAGAGTTATAAGTACCCCAAAAGGGATCCTAATTGGGGTTATGGTACGTATAAGTCTATAGTAATAGCTAGTTAGTAAGTCCCCCGACCCCCCAAGCGAGCCCTCAACTCTGCACCCATAAACTTCAGCTCCTAAGCCTCTAAACTCCTAAACACACTAAACCCCGAAACCCTAAACCCCTGAAGCTCTAAGCTCATAAATCCCAAACCCTTAACCCGAGCCTTGCGTCTCAAAGCTGCATCGGAATGCAGTATCAGGGAGCCCAATACCCCTTAATTAAGGAATATACCTTAAGTTATAAGGGGCTTAATATTCTGATTTAAGGTATATTCCTCAATTCAGGGGTATTGGGCTCTCTGGGGTATCAAGTCGCAGAACACCCGACATATCAGATGGCCCTCCCCTAAAAGCTTCAGGCATCTCATGTACAAAGGTTTTTTGGGTTTAGGGTTTAGGGTGGTCCTTTAAAGGCTTGCGTAAGGGGGTTCTTGTAGACTAGATAGGTTACTATAAGAGGTATCATGGAGGTTTGTGCATCGAAGCCTCAATAATTCGACTAGGGTTTTGGTGTGAAAGTGTGCTCTAGCTAGCAAAAAGAACCCGCAGGAATAAGCTTTGGATAAAACCCTGAAGCCCTAAAACCCTAAACCCTAAACCATAAACTAAAGCCCCTAGACCCTAAACCCTAAAACCCTAAACCCTAAATGGGGCTTGTAAGGTCTGGGGTGTAAGGCGCCGTTTTAGGATCGAAGCTTGCAGGAACTGGCTACCCTTAAAACTCCCATACTACACTGCCCTTACAGGAGCCCAGAACCCTTAAAACCCAAAACTATACTACCCTTAAAGCAACCCTAAACCCTTAAAGGAGCCCTAAGCTATAGTACTCTCAAAGGAGCCCTAAGCTCTTAAAGAAGCCCTAAACCCTAAACCGTTACAGGAACCCCTCAGTATAGCACTCTTAAAGGAGCCCTAAACCCTAAACTCTTCTCTTAAAGGAGCCCTACATCTTAAACACTCCTAGAGGAGCCCTTGATTATAGACTCTTAAAGGAGCCCTACACCTTAAACTCTCCTAGAGGAGCCCCTGATTATAGACTCTTAAAGGAGCCCTGAACCCTGAACTCTTAGAGGAACCCGCCGTCATAGCACTCTTAAAGGAGCCCTAAACCCTAAACTCTTAGAGGAGCCCCTTTACCCGCAAGCTTCAGCCCTGAGCTTCCGAAGTCTTAACCTTCTGCGCTCAGGTCTAGGGTTTAGGGGTTTAGGGCTTAGGCGTTTAGGGTTTCGGGGTTTAGGGGTTTAGGGGTGTAGGGTTTAGGGGTTCAGGGGTTTAGGGTTTAGGGGTTTAGGGGTTCAGGGGTTCAGGGGTTTAGGGGTTTAGGGCGAAGGGCCCGAAGTTCGAGTTTGAAGGTCTGAGTATGTGCCTGTTTTTGTGTGCCTTTTTCCTTGACTTAGGACTTAGTTCTCCTTTTGCAGAGGCCGAAATAATCAAATAATATGATAGGGTTTAGGGTTTAGGGTTGGGTTAAGGGTTTAGGGTTTAGGGTTTAGGGGCATGCTAGACCCCTCCCAAACCCTGTTCGAATTACTCAGGCCACCCTGAACCCTAAACCCTAAACCCTGAACCCCTAAACCGTAAACCCTAAACCCCTAAGCCCTAAACCCTAAGCCAGTCTGATGGATGGGTGGTCCGTCGGTGTCTCAGCAGCCGCATTTGACTGCGACGGAACTTCCTCAGCATCATCAGGATCCGGGGAAGGCCTCTCCGACCTGACGTGGTCGTTTAGGGTTTAGGGTTTAGGGTTTCAGGGTTTAGGGTTTCAGGGTTTGGGGTTTAGGGTTTGGGTTTAGGAGGTGGTGGCTCCCTGCAGGGTTTCCTACAAGACTGCCCTAAACCCTAAACCCCAAAACCCTAAACCCCAAAACCCCAAACCCTAAAGCCCTTAAACCCTAAACCCCCAAAACCAAAAACCAAAACAGCCGGAAAACCCTAAACCCTCTTTCGGGGTTTTCTTCAGGGCTTTGGGAGTTTCAGTCGTCCTACTAGCCTGAGGTTGAAACAATGGGCCCCTAGTATGGGCCCTGAACGCTGGGATCCTTACACCTACTATATACGCTATATGTACCCTTAAGGGTCCCTGGAAAGGCCCCTAAACCCTAAACCCCAAACCCCAAACCCTAAACCCTAAACCCTTAAGGGTCCCTGGAAAGGCCTAAGGGCCCATATTAGGGGCCCATACTTCTAACCTTAGAATTAGATGCTGTAAACCAAAGCAAGACCTGACATCTCAATCTCTGATAGGGCTTGGGGTCTTGGGGTTTAGGTTTTAGGGCTTTAGGGTTTAGGGTTTAGGGTTTAGGGCTTTAGGGTTTAGGGTTTCAGGGTTTAGTGTTTAGTGGTTTTGGGCCTGGGAATTATCATATAGGAAGAT